GAATCTTAAGCCCCCTGATTACATTGTTAACAAGGAATTGACGTTGATAAATGCGATGTTTCATTTTAGTGTTGGTTCATTGGTTTGATTTTTTAATAAATGAATGTTTGATTGTTTTGAAGTATGAGTTGATTGCAAATAATTTGATTAAGATATTGGTAGTTTTTGATTTAAATTTAATTAACAACACAATTTTAAGTGAGAATTTAAACATAAAATATTTTTTTATAAAAAAAATAGTATTAAAATAGTAAATGATGAGATATGGATTTTGATGGATGATTGTTTGAATTATTTTTAAGTTTCGGATGAAACGAGAGACTGTCTGATAGGGATCATAGTTTGGTAAGTAAAATTTATCTTATGTGAAAATTAAGTAGTTTATTAGATTATAGTTGCAAACAGGTTTGATTTTCAATTATTTACTTAGATTCGTGCAAAATATGATTACATACATTGTGATTGCAAATGTATGAACAATAATGGTCTCAAGATAAAATTTTTGACATTGATTAAAAGTTAAAAATAAAACGAGAAAAGAAACTGGTTTAGAATTGTGATGGGCAAAGCTGGGTCAGATTTAGAGAAGCCTGGAATGAGGGTGTAAAATTTACAAGACTAAAATTAATATTAATAAGGATGGTGTATCTGTGTCATGTCTGCAGAGAACTCGTACCTTCAGAGGACTCTTGGTTATGCTACGGGGCAAAGCGCAAGTTTCTGGAAATGTAAACAAACAAGAAAAATTTGATTTATTCGAGTTTACGGCTAATTTTCTGTAATTGATCCGTCGTTTTAACGCAAAGGGTCTGTCCTAGAACCCCCCCCCCCCCTCCTTCGTATAAATTTTTATACATATGTATAAAAACATAGTTTAAATGTACTATATTGCTTCTAGGGGTACAATGTTCACAAATGGGGGGGGGGGGTCGTCAATTGAACATTTTCAATGATACTGATAGAATTGAGGTTTTTTAAAACTAAAAGACAAAAAAGATTTCAATTTTTTTTGAAAATCTTTAGAAAAAGGACTGAGTACATTTTGAAGGCTAGGACGGCAAATTCGATTAAAATCTTTTTACGGCGACCCCCCAATTAATTGACATTATATATACTAGACTCGCATATTGTAGTAGAATAAAACGACGTTTAGTCGGTTAACACGTAATTAATAACTTTGGAAATGGGGCGAGCACATTTTCGATTATTATGCCTAATTTTGATGTTTAACATGACATTTTAAAGAGAAATGTTTCATTTACGACCCCCACCCCCTTTCATCTATGGGTTTTTAAACTACAGAAGTACTTTTTACTACAAAAAAATGAATTTTAGTAGACTAAAAAGCCTAAACACACTTTTTTTTCAGAGAAACCTTGTAGTCTAACCCTGAAATAATAAAAGATAAATATTAATTTATTAAAATTTAAAAGTTGAAATTGCAAGCATAATAGGGGTGCTATGGAAACGCCTCAACACGGAAACGTCTCAACACGGAAATGCCTCAAAAAAAAAGGAAACGCCTCAAAAAAAAAGAGGAAACACCTCAACTTTAAATATTAGGAAACGCCTCAAAAATATTCGGAAATCCCTCAACATTTTCCAGTTTTGAGGGATTTCCCAAAAAAAAACGGAAATTCCTCAAAACCGGTTTTTGAGGCATTTCCGCGTTGAGACGTTTCCGTGTTGAGGCGTTTCCATAGCACCCATAATAGGGCAGGGGGAGGGGTCGAAAATCTCGATATTAGTACTGAAACAAATCCGTTTTATAAATCCAAGTGTTTGTTTATTATTAAAGAATCTTGCGCTTTGACGCGTAGCATAGCCAGAGTTCACTGCAGGTACGAGATCTCTCCGGGCACCACACCTGCATTAATTAAGGCAATGATGCAGATGTTATTAGGTTACTTCCAGGATATCTCAGGTATTTTTATACAGTGTGCACGCTAACAGTTCTCCTTGCTGCCAGTTGGCAAGGGTATTATCAAATATACTCTGTGAGTCTTGTGCAGAGATTAACATCAGACAAGGAAGATTTTGTATCTTCAATGTATGAAGATATATCTATCATTTTACTTCTGAAATCAGTATAAATATTATTTACAATGAGTTATTTCAAAAGTGTTTAGAAAATTCAAATAATTGAAAACAATTGAAATAAGGTATTTTGTTTAGTTGAGTGGAGACAGAGAGGAAATACTTTTTTTAGTGATATGAAAGATAAGAGGAGGAAACAGGTAAAAGTTCTTTAATTTTAAACTTTTGTTTCCTCATATATATACTGATCAGAGCACAGACAACATTTATGTACAGTTAAATGGCATTGATAAATATAATTGCCAATTTTTATTTTAACAATTAAACGTTAAAGAGAAATAGAAAATTATTCTCAATATTTTTTCATGCATAAACTGATTCAATTAAAGCAAAAGTTTAATTTAACATCAAAACTACAAAGAGGAAACGAAAACGAAGCCTATGGACTTAGATTAAATATACTTTGTACCATGAATAGGATAAAACTAAGACAACATAATTTAAACCTTTTAGTTGTAGTTCACAGATAATCGCCATAAAAAAAAATAAAAATACATATTTAAGTTCTTTTATATTTTTTACATTCTACATTTTACATTTTAACCAAAGATATCACAATTACAAATTACAAAAGAAAAAAAATGAGAAAAACATTAATTCAGATCTAATTTACAATAAAACAATAATGGTTTAATGAGTATTTATATATCATTCTTAAATAGAGACAATTTATTCATCAGTATTAATTTCTAACTTAATAGACTCTAGGCAATTTTTGAGTAGAAATTTAAGCTGTTAACACTTAACCAGTTGCGATTCAAACTGCCATTTTTTAAATATGCGCATTTTTAAAAATATAAATTGCAAAATTGCAAAAAAAATGGGGAGCAACCTTTTGGATCTTTAATTATCCGTGACCGTAAACAAATGGGCCTGATCGGATAAGGCATTTTATGGTAACAAACTGAATAGCATGCACAGAAATATCTTCATTTTTTCTATTTATTTTTGAAAATGCGCAAAATTTTAGTGACAAATCTGCACGAAACTCTTAACAAAGAAAAAAGTAAGCAATTTTAACAGCTAAAATTGTTCCTTGAACAATGTCATTGGAAACATATTAGTGTGAATGTTAAATAAAAAGGGCATTCAGTGATAACCAGAAAACTCTGAAGTAGAAAGACGACTTTTTAGCAATACCTAAGTGTATTTAAGCTTGTTTCAAAGCAAAAAGACAGTACAATACACTTATTAAATCAGTTCTTCAGAAAGATGGGTCTTTATATACTATAAAATTGCTGTGTTTCATGCTCATTAGACTATTTAAAGTAATAATTTAGTCTAAAGGTCGTCTTACTATTTCGAGTTTTCTGGTTATTAATATATGCTTTTTTCGTTGTAACTTTTTTCAGTTTCAGTGGATTTTTAAGTTTAAATTTGCACATCTTAAAAGGTGATTAATTTTGAAACCTTATTGATCATTACCTATTGAAAAAAAACTTTTTCTGCAAGTTACCATAAAATTTGGACCTGATCAGATCAGTCGTTTTGACTTTTAATAAGCAAGTATTTACTACACAGAAAAAAATAACGATATTCCTTGATTTTTTTTAAATTATCAATTTTTGAAAATGTGCAATTTAAATTGAAAAATCCACGAAATATTAAGAAAAACACTGTTAAAATTGTTCCTGGATAAACATTCATAGGTAACATATAGCCTTGAATGTTCAATATAACACCAAAAAAAAACCAATAAAGGGAATGAACTATCTCTAAAACCTTTTGCAAAGTCACAAGATTCTTCCTCAGAACAGTTCTACCCTCCAGCACAGCGGGAGAAATCTTGTTTCGATTTCCGGTACTGAGCAACCCTAAATACATGTATGTATACAGAGAAATTATTTCACAATTTTAACAAAAAATGAGAAATGTGCAAATCTAATACTAACATATAAATGCGTATCCAAAAAAAGATTATATGGGAGAGGGGGGAGGGGGTATTTATTTTTTTAATAAAATATCGAAATAAAATTTTTAGGATTGTTGGCAATTTTTTTTCAGATTTGGGTTTTATGAGTAAAAGTTTTTTTTTGCAGTTTTCAATCGATATTTGCGCCTTGGATCCAGACCTATGGTTCCACATTTTTTGCGGATCCAACAGATCCAGATCCTAAGCGCTGCCTAAATCAAATGATTAAGTTTGATTCCAATCCATTTTGAATATAAGATTATCTTTCCGAGTTCTAGGACCCCAATTTTTATTGTAACTCTTAATTTTTCATTTACACTCAATTTTAATTTAATTAAAATTCCTGTTAATAAATATATCACTTTACCAAATCCAAACAGCTTTAAAAAACACCCACCTGTATTACTGAAAACTCTCTCACTTGGCGTGCTGGTTGCTGGTATTATCTGGATATCCTGAGCTACCTGAAACCATTAATTAATTAATATTTCATAGTGCAATATGTTTTAAGTTATTGTGGAACAGAAGTCATTGAATTAAATATAAATGATAATCAATGGGCCTACGAGTTCCGAAGATCAATACATACAGGGCGATCCAAAAAACAGGGATTAGCGTTTTTAAGACTCAAAAATATAAAACACTGCAGCTTTTTTAAAGTTTGCCTTTTAAAGCTTTATTCAACAAGTAAAGTCCCAGCATTAGAATTTTGAAAAAAACGAACAAATTATTTGAAAAAGCTGTAGCTGAGATAATAAAAAGCTAGGATTTTCAAAAAAAATCTGTTATAATTTTTTCCAGGCTCATTTTTTCCACTTTGATTAGCCCAACACCTTTCAAGAAATTGTAAAAGTTGCTACAAAAAACATGGGCCAGATTGGTTTAGCCGTTTTGATTTTAATTCAACCCGAAAAAACAGACAACCCGAATACATATTCTTAGTGTAATAGAAACTTTCTCACCTCAGCAAGGTTTGTGAGAAACCTGTTGGGCCACTCTCAAAAGAGCAGAGGGTCTTTATCTGCATTGGGTCCCATAATTTCTTTCCTGCATGATAAAAGTTTCTACAGAAAAGTGCATATTAAGTACGTAATGTATGGGACACAGTTAATTAAAGTGCGTATTGATTACGTGAAGTTTGGGACACAGTTAAATAAAGTGCATTTTGATTACGTGAAGTTTGGGACACAGTTAATTAAAGTGCATATTGATTCCTGAAGTTTGGGACACAGTTAATTAAAATTAAGTAGAAGCTATTTAGTCCATGCCAAAAATTCAGTCATTCCTTCATTGATTAAATCCTTCAAGCTTTTGAATATCATCTCCCCCCCCCCCTACCAGAAAATAAATATCTGGAATTACACACCCCTGCATTAATTATTTTCCCCCAGATCAAACACTGAATAAAGCAGAGCTTTCAGGGTTCATATAATCTTGATGCGAATCCAGAACCAGATCATGGGTCCGCACCAGAAAAAATGAATCCAGGCGAGCTATATCTTTTTGGGGCTTATTTTTATGCTAAAATTTGATAAACCATTCAGAAAATTTTCATAATCTCTCTTTTTTATCATAATTGTTCAGATTTGGTCTAACAACACTTCAAAAGCTTTGTCTCATCAAGCATGATTAATATATATTTTTTTTTCACAGAAAATTTTACATTTACAGAAATTATAAAAATTAAAGGTCTTTAAGCTGAAAAACAACGTGTTTAAATCTACTTAAGGTTTCAAGTGTTCCATTAGTCACAATGACATTATATGATTTGAGGATCACTTTATTTACAATTGTTTTAGTACCTTCAGCCTAAGGTATGAATGATGCCACATACTAGATTCAAATGTAACACAGTTGAAGGCATAATGTGTGTTGTACCTGTATTCTTTGAACCTTGCCTCCATCGTCTTCATGTCTGCCTCAAATGGGTCAGCCGAGTTAATTTCTTCAACCTAATTATAAAAGGAATGAAAATAAGTGGCCAGTTTCTTGAATGAAAATGAACAGTTTTTTGTAAAAGCTAATAAGTCCGCTCAAGCTGGCCATTTTTGCCGCCCTGAAAACTATTTCCCACACTGACTAGGTTTCCACACAATGGAAAGAATTTATTTAAGCAGTGTTTCGGATCCGTATCATTTTGATGCGGATTAAAGATAATTTTGAAAAATTTTCGTCATGTAAATAATACATTTACGAACCATTTTGATTTATTTATTCCATGGTTTTGGTTAATTTTTGGCGCTACCGGGATCCATATCAATGTTTCCTGATACGGATCCGGATCCGGATCCGACCAAATGATACGGATCCGACCGGATCCAGATCCAAAACGCTGTATTTAAGTATAAAGTTGGTCCAAATATGCATACAAAGTGTGCCGAAACTATATATTCTACATTTAAGTAAAATTTCATGGATCAAATAAGAGTCTTAATGTAAAATTTGAAGATGCTCAAGTTCACTATATAGAAAATGATTGTTACCACTGGTTTCAAGAACATTAAAAACCCAGGCTCAGCCTTATTCCCCTCAGATTCCTTCTCCTGGTCTTCATAGGTTTCCTTAAAATTTGAGAAATTCAATAACTAGCAAGCTAAATAACACAGACAATTTCATTAATATATTTCCCAATTTAAACAAATTTCATGAATGAAGAGGTTCCCAGCAAAATAAATTTCAATTGCATAGAGAAATATGCAATGCATACCTCCTGTGGCTGTAGGTGCACTCCCGGGACCCTACAATAGTTCCTAAGCTCACGTCTAGCTCTAATCAATTAAAAATAAATATTACTAGTCTCATTAATAAAAGCTAAGTATTTTCTGCTTTTCATTTGTAAAATTTACAAAAATGACTGTTTCAGCCTGAAAATAATTATTCCACTGTAAGATAGTAAATGTCATATTACTCATGACGCTAAATACTCAACTGCATTGAGTGGTATTAATAATCTAATAGAAAATTAATTACTCCAGGAGAGGGAATGAAAATTAACATAAAAAAACTTATTACTCAAAGAGATCAAAATAAACAATCAAGACACTTGTTACTGTAAATTTTAATAATCATAGCATAGAATCATTCATCCTTAAAGGGACAGAGTATGCAGTGTTGTGGAAAGCTTCTTTAGAATTCATTTGAGAAAAATAAAACTTTTTTTATACAGTAAACTACTTAGATGGTTGGGAACATATTTCTCAAAAGAAATTTGTCATTAACAATGCTAGAATCAATTATTTCGTTTTCATCATTATATTGAATTTCTTATTTTCTTGGAATTTAATCGCAGATTTCTTCAAATTCTTAAAATGTCGTCTTTTCAATAATAATTCCAGAAAATCTGCAGAAAATCATTGTGATAATGAGAAACTAGAATAATGATAAAATATAAACTAAAAATTGAACAAGATTACTTATTTTAGATGATTAACTTTTATTTTCTCAACCGGTTCCTATACAACTAATATTAGTTTACTGTAGAGTTTAATAATTAAAAAAATAACGATTCTGAAAACGTATTCACCCCCAAAGTAAGAGCTTTGAACATCGAATTTGCGCTCAAACTCGGGATTTATAGATCTTTAAAAAGTTTTATTTGTCTCAAATGAATCATAAAGTAGCTTTCCACAACACTGCATTCTCAGTTCAAATACCTTACATAGCCAGTCTGTCCCTTTAAACATATACCCCTTTAGTACCGTTGCATTAGAGATTATAATCTGAGAAGGTAAACAGAACAGATATAAATATATACAAGCTTTCAAAAAGTTTTAACCTAGTGCGGACGTCATGGTCTAGGTAGAGACTTAGAAAGGGGTCCAGGAAAGTGGCCACTATATATACTGGTTCAAAGTCTGAATCATCCTGCTTGAGTACACACCTGTAAACAAATGTTTTTTAAATGTATTGAATTTAAAATGCAGAAAGGGTTGGACCCCCCCCCCCCATTCTTGAAGAGTCTTGACTGCCAGGATATTGTATGATTGTCACATCTGAAATAATCATACTTGGCTGTAGGCATGATATTGTAGTATGAAGCACGGGTTTTAATTAATTAATAGATTCTGTATGTGAAGTTCTGACCTGACAATCATCAAAAATTTTAAATAATAAAGATGGCAGACCTAGTTTTAATAAAATGTTAAAAACTGCCATTTCCCCGACATTTTCAAATGGTTTTAGTCTTTTAGACAAAACAAAAGCTCTTCCTTTCTTCAATAGCATAATTCAACCTTTGTAAATTCTGTGTGATTTTTGTCCAACATTAAAAGAATTATAAATTAAATTAATTCAATCCTTACTAAAAACAGGTAAAAATTCAAGAAACTAGTAACCAAGAATAAGAACAAGATTAAAACAGTTTTAAATTGAACATATTAATTCTTACTTAAATCTTGACTCAATCGAACTGATGAGGCTTTGGAGGAAAGACGTTGGAGATAATCTTCTCAACCCACACAACAAATTCTAAATATATATTATTATTTTTATCATGGCCAGGGGCAAAGAAAATTTATTTAAAAAATATTTTTTCCCCCTCTTTTGTGAAATTTACAGAAGGAGTGTATATTTTCTTGAAAACTCGTTTTCGCCCCCCCCCCCCTTGTGAAAACCATTCTTTAAATTTTAGTCAGATGTATTCTTGAGGACTTGCGTGTACCAAAATTTTTGTTTTGGGTTTTATTCGCTGAATTCTTAATGTTGCTGTTAACTTAAATGTAATAATTGGTGTGGTGAAGGCATACAGAATTCTTTCTTCTTTTTTTTGAGCATTTCCCATTTTCTTTATTTCTGTTTCTCTACTCTTGTATTTGATATTTTGATAACACCCCACGCATGAATATACGCCCCTGGGATTAAATAAGTGATATTTAAAAGTCAGAAAAAATATTCTAAGACTGTATTTATTATTTTTGTGAAGTTCTATTTCTTGCAGTGCTAAGAATCAAGATTCGCTTAATTTGGGATCCTGTGGATCTGCATTTCTGAATCAGAGGGACACAGACAAAAACAAATTCATTCTATAATTTAGAAAATTTCATTTTCCAAAAAAAAAAAATAATACTGATCCAGATCAAAATTTGCAACTTCTGATATTTTTACACAGGAAGGATTCACATCAAAATGAAACGAATCCTTAAAAGAAAATTAAAAACAACGGGTTCTCTCACCTTCAGCATTATATAAACACAGTTTATGGAAGTCTTCTTTTCACTGCCAAGGAAATCCCTTAAATATATAGTATAAATTTATATGTCTCTTTAACATATATCTCTATAACATACATTTTAGACTTAACTCTAAGGGGGGGGGGGTTGGATTTTACTATTTTAAAAGCAATGCAATCAGGCCCGCAACTAGAGGGGGGGGGGGCACAGAAGTACTTTACAGGCCATATAGTTTCAAAAATAAATAATTTTCTCTAAAATTTGAAAAAAAATAGGCCCACACAGTAATCTTTTTTAACATACACTCATTTACACCCATAACTATTAAAACAAACTCAAATTCCACTATAACACTTTTCAATATAAGCATACATTCTTTTTTATTTTTGTCCCGTTTTTTAGAATGCCACCAATTATTTATAATTTGCACCCAAAAATTTATTTGTATCTATCTCCAAATGTTTTATAAATACACCCAATATTAATGTAATTATTCCAAAATTAAGAAGTTTTGCGCTAAACCCTCAAAAAACCCCCATCCTATACTTTGAAAATGCCCTTAAATAAAAAATATTTATGCATTCCCACACACATATTTGCGTAAATGAAAAAAAAAACATAAGAAAATTTGGCCCTAATACTAAGATTTAAGATTTCAGATTTCCCCAAACTGAAAATTGCCACCCAAAAAATTAAATTTAATATTTTTCCCACACAAACTTGCCCCAAACAGAAAAGAATGCCCCCAAAATAAAAATTTCCCTGTAAAATATCATTAATTGGGAAGGTAATTTTTTCATGGCCTAGTATGATGCACATTTTTCCCAGAAATGTTTAGGGGGGGGGGGCAAAAAAAATGTTTTCGCTACACGCCAACTTTTTGCCCTTTGACCCCCCACCCCCTGCTAAATATCTAGTTGCACGCCTGAATGCAATTTTCAAAAAAAATCTGGGAAGTAAATATTCCTTTTTCTTAAATACTTGCAAACAAACCTTGCAATCTAATTAATTCAAGCGTTTCTGTAGATAAATAATTAAATAAGTAATTCAGATTTTAAGAGTACTCTTATAAGATGAAACCACCACCACAAAAGAATAGTCACTTTAAAAACGTTTTAGTATCCCCCTTCAACAAAAGGGGGGGGGGGCATGAAACGTATTACTCTCCGGAAAATTTTTACAGTGTTTAAACATAACTTAAAATTGTCATAGGAGGATGATTTTTTGCATGCAAACTCAGAATTATGTATATTACATGCATTTTTTGGCTTTGAAGGAATCTGAACAAAAGTGCGCACGCGCGCGCTTTTTGTGAAAAAATGTGACTTTTTTTACAGTAAATCAATGTTAACTTTTATAATTGCACTTGGACATTTTTCATGACACCCTTGAAACAAATATGCTCTAAAAAAATTCACCTCCTAAGGCTTAAATATCCGCGCGCGCGCAATAAAAGAAAATATCTTTGAATACTTATGTGCTAAGTTTGGCCTAAGTTAGAATGACAGTTGCATGCGATACATCATCTCGAAAATGAAATGACGTAAACCAAACGAAAAATGCAAATAAAATAAGAACTGTTAACAATTTTTGTTTTTAACTTTTGTTACATGTATATATATGAAAAACTATGATAGGTTGAACCATAATTACTCTATGGTCAGCAGCTCGCAGATCAGAGTCCTGAAACTTATTTTTTTTTACCTAAGAAAGAGAATCATTGTTTCTAGTACCCCAGAATCGACATACTAAATGCAAAACATTTGACAGGATGACCCAGAAGGTGACTGCTGGCTGCTAGCACGTCGATCAGAGTAGTCATTACAAAAGATTTTACTAAGAAACGGATCCTCATGCCAAATTACCTATAAATGGACATACAACATGACCCATAATGTAATGGTTGGCTATAATGGTCAGAATGCTCCAATGATAAATTTGACCTCAGAAATAAATCATTTGTTCTTTGGTTATGTTCAAAAAGTTCAATTGCTTATAATATGTTTAATAATATGCCTTTTTTGGGTTAGGCTAGGGCGGCCAAGCGCTGCGGCTAGGATGGGCTAGGGGACTGAGCCCTACAGCATCTTCAGGGTGGCCAAAACTATTTTGAACAAATCCGTACAAAAATCCGTACATTTTCAGAAGAAATCCGTACAATCCGTACAATTTTCGAAAAAAAATCCGTACAATCCGTACAATTTTTTTTTAAAAAATCCGTACAATCCATACATTTTTTAAAAAATCCGTACATTTTTTTAAAAATCTGTACAATCAGTACAATTTTCGAAAAAAATCCCATTTTTGAAAAAAAAAACATTAAAATTCAATTTTAAATTCATTGTCCTTTGTGTTCAGTTCATGTAAGAGGGTTTAAACTTCTTCAGGAAGAATCAATCTGTAAAAAATTGCCTTCATACATATATACAAACTAAATACTGGGTACATGATACTAGGTGCATGATACTGGATTCTGGATACATGATACAGGGTACATGATACCGGATACAGGATACAGGATACAGGATACTGGATACTGGATACAGGATATCGAATGAATACTGGATACAGGATACAGGATACAGGATACAGGATATTGAACTTAATACAGGATACAGGATTCTGGATACTGGATACAGGATACTGGATACTGGATACAGGATACTGGATACTGGATACTGGATACTGGGTTCATGATACTGGGTACATAATTCTGGGTACATGATACTGGGTACATGATACTGGGTACAGGATACTGAGTAAAGGATACTGGGTACAGGATACTGGGTACAGGATACTGGAACATCTTCTTGAATAAGCAATCAAATAAGTACTTATGGAACATATTCTCAAATAAACACTTCTTGGACATATCTCGAAAATTATGAATGAATTTTGATTGTCAATTGAAACATTAATCAATCTAATATTATTTAGAATGCAGAAAATAAGTTAAACTAACTTCATTTTGACGAGAATTTTTTTTAATTTTCATGAAAAATTTGCTGAAATGAGTGAAAATTTAAAAAAACTGTGTATTTTCCAGTATAAAAATCTGTACAATCCGTACAATTTTAGGGTTAAAAAAAAACAATCCGTACAATCCGTACATTTTGGCCACCCTGCATCTTGAATTTTAAATTAGGTTTTCTCTTACCTTATTTTGGGTTAAGTTTGGTTGAGAAAATTTCTGGGCCGAGCGCTGGGGCTAAGATAGGCTAGGGGCCGAGCGCTGCGGCCTCTTAATGTTAAATAATATGCTGTCCCTCACCTCATTTTGATGTTTATGTTAAATGAGCTGCACATTTGGGAAATTGTCCCTTGGCAAGTCGCCCTTGGAAAAGTTGATTTGGGAAAGTACTTAACACCCTCTGTAGGACACACACCCGTTTCAAACTCACCGTCTTCAGCAGTTAGAGGAGAATCTTCGTCAGCAGAATCTTCATCACTAGCTTCATCATCTTGAGCCAATCCATCAACTAGAGTAGGATTATAATCTCCCGGTAGAACCACTTCTTCAATTGGGTCCTCAACAGAATCCACCCTCAGTAACGTTAAAGCCTAAAAATAAAAATATCAACTCCTTTCAAAAAGCTTAAGACATGGGTGTTCTACATTAGAAACCCTTCCCCTCTAGACCTCACAATAACAGAGTTTATAGCTAGCTTTTGAAAAGTAATGTGCTCTAGTCAATTCGCTGCACTGACATATAATTTAATGTTGAAATATTAAAATTTCACTTATTAAGACAGATAAAGTTTCACTAAAATTTTTAAATTCCGTTTTTAACAATTAAAATGAAAAACATTTTACTTTCTGAAAAGTAAAGAGGCAAAAAAGAACAAACCCTTCATAAGTAAATTAACCCTATTTAGGCTGACGTTTGGTTTACCCAAAATAGTCAGGGGGGGTCCCGGGGACCTCCGCCCTCTATTTCCTTAACCCTATCTCTGCTGGGGTACTTGAAAACCAGGATATGCTGGGGGGGGGGCAATTTGACCCCCCCCCTCTAAATCCCATGTTTGATGTCCAAATATGACAAATGATACATCATTGGAAAGCTCCTGTGCTCTACTTTTAGAATCTGCAAAAATTTTTTGCAAATTTGCAAAAATTTAATTTTTTATTGCAAAATCCAGCTATATAGTAAAAATGTTTGCAAAAAAAATTTGTCCAAAAAATGAAAAATTATACATTTTTGAAAAGCCCTTGACCATGCCATTTCAAATATGCAAATTTTTTTGCAAAATTTTAAATAACCTGATTTTTAATCAAGAAAAACTAAAAATGTGCAAATTTCCTTTGTCAGGTTGTTTGCAAAAAATTTGCATTTTTTTTCGCAAAACTTGTTCAATTCGTTTCCTTATGTCAAAGGCTTTCCAAAAAGCCAAATTATATCAAAATCTGACAAGTGGAAGTGAGTCAAAACAAAGATTTAGTTTGTTACAGGAAAAAGCAGTCATTCAGGCAGTGTGCCTGAGGACTCAGGCAGTTAGTATTAAAGCCCGGTTTTAGGCCTAAAGGGAGGGCTTTGGCTATGTAGGAAAAGTCAGAAAATTTCAACAGCCTCAGACCAATACTTTTTAGTTATGTAAAAAAAAACTACAGAGGGGGGTCAAGTTGACCCCCCCCCCCAGCAGGAATATGGTTAAAGTGATAAAAAAAACTATAGGATTTGATACAATTTTGGAAAGCCATTGGGCAGAAATTTTTTCAAATTTGCAACATTTCAAATATTTATTGCAATTTAAAGTTATTATGCAAAAAAATGTGCAATAACAAAAAAGTGCGCAAAATATGATAAATTATACATTTTTGAAAAGCCCTTAAAATGTGCAAAAATATTTGCAACATTTTTAAAAACTAAATTTGTATTCAACAAAAAATGAAAATGTTCAAGTTCTCTTTAAAGGCATCTGTGCAAAAATCTATGCAAAATTTCTTCGCAAAAATTAAACAATCTACTTTCTTTTGTTCAAGTGGGTCAAAATATAGATTTAGTCGAGTAAAGGTAAAATAAGACATTCAGACAGTTTCATACCGAAAGGCCCGCTTCAAGCCTAAAGTGAGGGGCATGTGATGGTTAGAAAAGTGAAAAATTTAAACAGCCGGAATAGGCTGAAGCAAATTAAACTTTAGAAAATACTATTTAAAGCTAAGACCAAACCCATTATTACCTTGACTATATTACTCCCATTGTCAGCAGTTACATAGGAGATCTTTCCTCTAAGAAGAAAATCATCAAGGATTTGTAGCATAAGATCCTTGATCCGAGCTCCAGTGTGGGGGGAGGGGAACTCACGAACAGCAAGGGTGAGTGTAACCCTGTCATTTAGATCTAAATAAGCACAAGTTATCTTTCTTAAAGTTTTTCAAATCCAAATTAACATACACTGTGTCCGAATTTAAAGGGAGTGTTTGCGAAAAAAAAGGGGGTATAGGCTTAATGCGATAAATAAGCGCTTTTGATCACTACTAATCTTACTTCTATCTGTTGCGTCTATAAGGAGAAAATTGATATAGACGTCACATACCGAAGAGCATAGCGCCCATACAAATTGAGGAAGTTGGAACATATGATCGTAAAAAAATCAAATATCAAACAAATCATTCAGATATTACAACCTATAGTCATCGATTATCTTTCGCCACATTTATATATAGTTGATTTTTCATAATATGTTTTAATTGTTATGATCTGAGAGTTACTTATAAAAACATTTATTCCTGTTTCGAGGATTTTTGGTAATGAAGACGGCATTTTAAAATTTTCCAGGAATGTTCGAAATTAAGTTGTAAGCTAAATATTATTTTAAAAAATAAAATAAAATCATATTATGAAATATCAAATATTGTAGTAAATCCCTGTTTTCCTAAATCCTTGATTTCTGACAATTTCAACGTTAAAAGCAATTATCTGATGGAATCCTTGCTTTTCCCATAGATCTAATCTCTTGCACCTAACAATTATAGAAATTGATGGGTTCCCCGCTGTCATAAT